ATTTTTTTAATGTAGTTATTGGCTCTTTGTATTTCTTCTAAGAAATGTCTACTTAGATCATTCGACCATTTATTGATTATTTGTTTTATGGTGTTAAGATTTTTTATCTCCTTACATATTCTGGATATTAATTCCCTATCAATCAGAGGAGTACCTGGCAAAGATTTTCTCCCATTTTCTGTAGGCTCTCTCTCCATGCTCTGAATTGTTTCATTTTCTGTGCAGAAGATCTCTAATTTGATGACATCTCACATATTGATGCTTGTTTTTGTTTCTTGAGCTTTAGGTGTTTTGTTAAGGAAGTCAGCACTAATATTTTGAATTGCTGAGCTTATCTTTCTTATAGCAGTTGTAGTGTTTCTGGTCTAATTCTTAGGTCCTTGATCACTTTGAGTAGATTTTTGTGCAGGATGAGAGATAGCAATCTAGTTTCATTCTTCTACATATGGATGACCAATTTTCCCAGCATCATTTATTTAAAAGGCTGTTTTTTCTCCAAAGGATGTTTTTGGCACTTTTTTCTAGTATCAAATGACTTCATCCAGGTGGATTTGTCTCTGTGTCTTCTATTCTATTCCACTGGTCTTTATGTCTATTTTGATGCCAATACCATAGCTCTGAGTATCATGTGAGACCAGGTAATGTGATGTCTCTAAGTGTTGCTCTTCTTGCTCATGATTGCTTTGACTATTCTGGATCTTTTATTCTTATATATGAATTTTAGGACTTTTTGTCCAGTTCTGTGAAGAATTTCAATGGTATTTTGATGGGAGTTGCATTGTATCACTTTTGATAATACAGCCATTTTGACAATATCAGTTCTGCCTACTCAAGAACATTGAAGGTCTTTCTATCTTTTTAAGTCTTTTTAAATTTTTTTCTTCAGTTTTCTATAATTTTTATTGTAGAGTTATTTCACCTCCTTGATTAGATCTATTCCTAAGTATTTTTTTTCAGCTATTGTAAATGGAATTGCTTTCCTGATTTCTTTCAGCAGATTCACTATTGGCATATAATAAACTACTGATTTTTTTTGTATGTTGATCTTGCATCCTGATACTTTGCTGAATTTATCAATTCTCTAGAAGAGTCTAAGTCTTAAGTCTTCTGTGGAGTTTTTTTGGTCTTCTAAATAGAAAATCATGTCATCAGTGAACAGATAATTTGACTTGTTCTTTTCCTCTTCATATCCCTTTGATTTTCTTCTCTTGCCTGATTGCTTTGGCTAGAATTTTAAGGAAAATGTTCAATAGGAGTGGTGAGAATGAGTGTCTTCATCCTGAGTTTAGAAGTAAGTACCTTCTATCCCTAGCTTCTTCACTATTTTAATATGAATGATTGCTGGATTTTCTTGAAATTCTTTTCTGCATTGATTGAGATGATAATGTGGTTTTTGGTCTTAATTCTATTGATGTGATTAACTGTATTTATTAATTTATATATATATTGACTAATCTTTCATCCTGGGGAACTCTGTTTTTATTTAGTCTTTTTGCTTCATGGAGAAAACTCTCGCCTGCATTAGCGTTTCTGGCAAGAACAGCTCATGTAATGATCTTGAAGGTCACATGCCCTTCAACTACCCTTCCCAGCATCAGTCCACAGCAGGGAAAGCAAAGGCAGACAGATTTGGATGTGAAACGTAAGGTTCCCACTTACCCTCTTGGGAACCCTTGGGAAAGTTTCTTAACCTCTCTATGATTATCTATCAAATGTATAGAATGCTAATTTCCATACCTGCTCTGTTAGATTCTCCAGAGAAATAAAAGCAATATGATACATGTATCCATATTATCTATAGTTAATATTATATACATCATATATATTATTGGTTATAATGTGCCTTATAAATATATATTATATATCACATACTATGTTTATATCATATCTTATTGGTCATAATATGTTATTGAATTATATTCTCTTTATGTTATATATTATATACGGTTATATTATATAATATATCCTATTGAATCTGTGTTGGGGAAACCTTTAGCTAATACAGTATACTGAATGTGTGTATAAATAAATAAATAAATAAATGTAGGGTGGGGGAGAGGGAGATTGATTTTGTGGAAATGACTTATAGAACTGTGGGAAGTACAAGTCTAGAATCTGTAGAGCAAGCAGATAGTGTAAAACTCAGATAAGAGAGATGCCACTGTCTTGAGTCTCTTGGCTGGAGACTCAGGCAGAATGTCTACACTGCAGTCCGAAGGGAGCATTCCTTCTCCTGGAGGAGCCTCTGTCTTTGCTCTAAGGCCTTCAACTGACTGGGTGAGACCTACACGTACTATGGAGGTTAGTCTGTTTTCCTAACATCGAGGAGTGTGAACATTAATTACATCTACAAAATGCAGTATGTAATGGCCAGAGCAGTCCCAAGCATTTTCTCCCACTGTTTGCTAATTACCACGGTGACAGTTTTTTACATTTTCTTCTCCCCATTTTTGATACTTGGCTTTTCCTGCCATACCTCACCTTTCTCAAGAAGAGACAACGATACCACAATTCTCATCAATGCAGAGGAAAAAACTCACCTAAACTACTGAAAATTCTGACTTAGTAAATGCTGCTTGAAAAAATGTTTCAGTTCTTAAACATGTTTGACACTTGAAATCATATGCTTAGCCAATTCTCTGTCTGCTGACATCTGTTCCTTGAGAGTAGAATAATACTTCATTAAAAAGAAATTTGGGTCCCTAGAAAATACTGTGTAACTATCAGGCGATCAATAGTTGCAAAGATTGATTAAATTTGTGTATGGATGAATGAGCTTGAGCAACTGTAAAATATTTGAATTTGCTAGAACAACAGAACAATACTTCTCATGAAGGTCTGTGGATGACCTGCATCAGTCAAAAGAGTGATGCTTCATTCAGCAGATGGTACATCTCCTACCAGCACTGGCACACACGAGGGGTGGTTTGTTTATGCCCTCCCCCAACCTGACACGTTGGCACATCCCTGATGTGATGAGATTAGCGGGTGGGACCTTTGGTAAATGATGTGGTCATGAGGATGGGCCTCCCGTGAATGGGATTAGTACCCTTACAGCAGGAGGAGGAGACCTGGGGTCTCTCTCTCCATCATGAGAAGAAGTGAGGAGAAGGCGGTCATCAGCAAACCAGGAAGAGGGCCCTCACCAGATAGAGTTAACCAGGAAGAGGGCCCTAACTAGACAGATTCAGCCAGTGCCTTAATCTTGGACTTCTGGGTCTTCAGAACTATGAGAAAGAAATGTTAGCTATTAAAGCCACACAGTGTGTGGTATTTTGTTATCACAGCCGGAACTGACAAAGACATTGGGTGACTGGGAGCCGGCTGCAGTTCTTAGCACCTCCTACCACCATGGGCCATACGGGAAGCACCCTTCTCATTTTGCACAAGTCTTGTTTCCCTACTGGACAGCAAGCTCCCTGAAGGCAGGCAGCCCCCAGCTTAAAGCATTGTGTCCCTGGCTCAGTTCTTGCAGGTAGTATGCCTCAAAAAAAAAAAAAAAGAAAGAAAGAAAAGAAAAGAACAAAGAAAAGGAAAAAAGCTGGTTGAATTTTAAAAAGTTGAGTTACTCTCTATGGATTCTTTTCACACTTTGATCTACTTTCCCAACCTTTTTGGCATCTTGTTGAGGGATAAAGTATGCAGAGTTTGGAAGCTGAGAGGCACACTTTCTGCACAAATCTACATACGAACCAGAATTCCTTCACACATATAAAATGATCACACATACCATCCCACCACCCTTGAAAGATGCTAAGGAACTAACTCTGATTTGAAAAAGGTAAATAAGGGGAGAGAGGTGGGCATTCATGCTCCCTTTCCTATAACATCTGAACACTGGGTAATCAGAAGGTAGATGTTTCCCTGTACACACAGCCCCACGAATCAATAAAGAAGATATAGTTGAACTAGAATTTCATCACTTTTCCATCCTTAAAACGGTAAAGGTCTAAGCATTGAGCAGAAATGGCTACTGATGGCATAGATACTGTGTCCCTTTTGATGAAGACTTCGACAGCACCCTTGAAAAAGTTGTCCCCCGAAAACCCAAAACTAAAAATGATGAAGCTTTAAAATCAACCATCCATTGGCAGGAAACGTGGGAGACTGAAGGAAACGCTGGACTTCACCACAGGAATGCAATCCGCAAAACTCCAGCTGAGGAAGCCACAAGACAGAGCACAAGACAGAGGATCCAGTTTCCATCAGAAACAAACTTCAAAGGCTGGGGACGGGGTGGAGGTTGGTGGAGGAACCAATGCACTAAAGAGACCCCAAAGACACGTGAGACCAACCAGCCAACAACAGGAAGGGCTGTGTGTTGGTCTGGAGGGTGCACAGTGGAGAGGGAATAGAGGTAAGGTACAGAAGTAATTACCATGGAAATAAGGACAGTGGGAGTTCCCAGGGTGGGGCTTTCCAAGGAAACCTGAAGCCTACCATATGGCTAGCTAGGTTTTGTCTCTTTTCATGTTTGATTCTTAAAAGGGTCTTTTCCCTATAATAATTTATTAATTCACACTTTGTTTAACCTTGCTTTCTGTATTTTTACAATAAAAGCTTTTAAAAATGTCTGACCCACCTGTTTTAGAGTGACCGGAGCCTACCTACACACACATCATTTCACAGGTGCAGGGCCTCATCTGTCTTCTTTGTTGTCAACACCAACAAGCCTGGCTTTCAGCACATGGTTGGACTAAATACCTATTTACTAAGTGGATGAATAAGTGAGACTGTAGAATCAAACACACAGTGGATTTTGACAAAGGCTTCAGCAACGCCTCAGATTCCCAAGGTGTGCACTCCAGACCTTTGCTGGGTGTTGAGGACATCTGCAGTGTCACATGGGACATTCAGCCCTTTCCCAGTCGAACCAAGACACGGTGACATTCTCTTGTTACAGGTCCAGGTCACCTTGGTGGGCAACTGAATGTCCCTAACCCACTTAGAGGACAGAAAGTTTCGGTGTGGAAAGAAGGACCAACTGGCACAACGTGACACTGAATGTGCAAACTGCATTTCTTTACTTCCCAGCTGGAATTGATTACATGAACTTATTTTCAGTGGCCAATTAAAGCAGGACAGTAAGGCACAGGTTCCCACCGGCTGGCATACCCAGGAATCCACCCTTCTACAAGCCCCACACAGGATTCTCCAGTGAAAATTAAAGCTTGAGAACCAGGGCCTGAGGGAATGACAGGGCCATTCACTCCAGCGCTCTGTTCTCTCTCACCCACCCTCGTCCTTTCCTTTTCAACCACCAGTGTTCGCAAAGGAAAAGCAAATTCATATGATTCTCATAAGCATGTTACCATTGTGAGGGGAAACTGAGGGTTTAAACAGAAGTCCCATAGCCAAATTTGTTTTTTTTTTTCCCCTCCATCATCCAGCTGCTTACTCCCTTGCAAATATAACAGTCAATTCCAAGCAGACTGCCAGTTGGACAATTTCCGGATATTCAGATGGAAGAGATTCATCAGAGGCATTCCTAAATGGTTGTCAAATTCTGGCAAACCTAGATTGGAGAAAGGAGAAAAGAAATGCATAATTCATCTACATGCATAGGAAATGCGATGTCTAATCACACACATGCAAAACTAGTTGAAATAGTCACAACTAGGAAGACTGGATGGAGCCTCAAAGTAACTTTCTGTTTTTGTTTTCTCCCAAGTTCTCGATGTTCTGTCCTCTGAAAGACCAGGGAGGTTGTCACCCCTAAATCCAGCTTGATACTTAGTTAATAAACGCTTTCCTGTTTTCTCGTCCACTCCCAATAGAACAGCTTAGAGGATACCTGTGGGTTTCCCCTGCATTTTCATTCCCTAAAGTTGATTCATTCACCCACCAAGTATTTGGAAATAACTTACTCTATCTAACAGTGGATGGAACAAATGGGGCTCCTTTTGTTACTAGGAGGTGGTAAACATGTAACACGTGCACCCAAAGCTAACACAGTGTTGGCGACAGGGGATACCTGGGCGTCTTTATTTTCAAGGGATGCTCCTGACATTGGTGAACAAGATAAATAGCCCCACGAAGGCAGGCTTTGAACTGAAAGAAGAAGGCAGTTGGAATAGAATTTCCCGATGAAGGGAATGGGATATGACCCCAGGAGAACAAAACGTTGAAGAAGAGGCAGCTGTTCTCATCTGAGCTTCCAGGGAGCAGGAAGGGCATGGAGGGCTGCTGGGCTCCTGTTCACTGAACCCCACTCGGTGCTCACCGGCCACTTCCTTAGAGTCTCCTCAGTGGTGTCAGAGGAGGCTTGAGTCCTCCTTGACTCTTGGTATGAATAATCATGTATTTGGCTTGTTAGCTCTGGATATGTTTATGTAAGAGAAAGAGGCTGGCAAAATCTTTAATACGCAGGCACAGAGCTCTTGCTATAAAGGAAGTACTTCAAGAAATGATGCTGTGCATACCTTCAATTTGATGAATATTTATGGAGTGCCTATGAGTTTCAAGGCACGGGGGTGAATACAAAAATGGGAGTCAACAGTCCTTTTCCACAGATCTCAAATGCAAGAGTGTGTGTATTCGAGGCCAGGTGGGTGGGAAACCGGAAAATATGGAGAGGGGATGAAAGAATTATGTACATAAATAATCAAAGAAGAAATCCTATTCTAGAAGTGAGGCTGTAGATGAGAATGCTTATGTAGGAAATAAATGTGGTCCTGAGTTGCTGTTTTCAGTAGAGAACAGCAAGGAGCTCAAAGCAGCAGAAGGTACTGAGTAACCTGTAGAGAACCGTGCCTTCTCCTCCAGGAAGCCCTCCCAGCCTGCAATCCCTGTCCCTGCTAGTGTAGAGAATTCTCCCTCCTGCTGTTCCCTTGGGCCTCTATGCCAGCTCCACACTTGCACTTACCATTAGAATTCAACTCTATCTTGCCCTTTACATGTGTGTTACTCTCATCAGACTCTGAACTCTTAAGCCTGGCCAATATCTTGGTTTTGCAACCTTGTCATCCATAGTAGAGACTCCATGAATGTCAGCTAAGCTGAACTGGGCATCCCAGGTAGAATAGAACAGAGCCTAATTCTCAGTAAATATCTGGCAGGTTAAGAACTGCTACTTCAGAAATCAAGGGGGTAAAGCATTTTAGGAACTGTCTTCCCAAGATTCTCATAATTAATGATCAAAGAATTTCCTGGAGAGTCTGTTAAAAATGAAGACCATTCCCTCACCCCCAAACTTTGATTCAGAAGGTCTGGAACCAGGATTCAGACCCTGTGATTTAGATCAACTCTCCTGCTGGTTCTAGAACAAACAGTCCCATGCACACTTTGAGAAACTCTGCCTTCACCTACAGAATGATAACTGTCTTTCTAATTACTTGTACAAGCCAATCTAAAGAGCTAGAGAGAAGGAATTCATACAGGTCTCACTGTCTGACAAACTATGATCATGGTTTCTCTTCTGGAAGTCGGGTTTTAATATAGATCTTGAATGACAATCTTTTGACTATTCATTTCTGGTAGTCTAGTCCTGATTCACGGTCACCTCTGTGTACAGATCTGAGCACAGACCTGCAGTGAATGTCAGGGTCAGGCATACCTAGAGCTTGTGCATAGATCTAGAAAGAAACCTGCAGTCTGAGGAAGGAACGTGGGTATCTTAGAAGAGTTTTACACAAAGGTCATTAATTTGCAAGGGTTTTAGAATAAGAATTTTTGTTGTTGTTGTTGATTCCCAGACCCGGTTTCCTAACTATCAGGTTAAACAAAACTTAGCTCTATCAGTGACTGCCCCCAAGATGCCTGAATGGCCTAGAAATTATTGGAAGTGTCACTCAAAGTGTCAGTAAATCTATATTGCTTGGAGTGGTAAACAAATAAATCTTCATTCAATCCCATTGTGATTCCATATTTAATACAAAGATTTCAAAAACAGGGAATCGCAGTGTCCGGAGCAAAGACCAATCAACTAATTTGAATTGCAGACCTCCACCTCCAAGCTGTGGGAGAAGGTAATTGACATGGGCCATCTTGCAGTGGGATGGCACGGTGTGGACTGTCTAGAGTCCTGAGAGCATCTCATCCTTTGAAATATGCTGCACCAGAGCAGCCAGCACACAGGGGCATCATTAGTGGGTTAGAGACGGCAGAGGAATTGCAGTTCATAACAGAATATCTAGTGGGCAGTTTGCCAGCCATTTGGAATAACATAAGATAAAGGTCTCTTAAAGTGAGTATTTATAAAGTGCAGGGCTATGAGTCTTTAAAAGCCCCTTTCAAAATCATTGGAAAGGCCACTTATTTTCATATTATTTCCTAAGTCCTTCTGCCTTAAAAATTAATTCAATTTTGATGGAAGAATTTGGGAGGCGGGATGATACTATCAGATTGACTGAAAATATTGTTCAGGAGGAACAATCAGGATCTTTTCTATATGTAGTCATTGCCAACTATTACTCAGCAGAAACCATTCTCAGATATCAGGTGCCAGCCTGGCATCTCTGTTCGGAGGAAGAGAACAGCGCAGGCAACACTCACCAGGCATGGGCGGAGGCTTTGAAATAGCTGGCGAGGCTGAGGAACAATGACTGGACAACATCTGGGGCGGAAGGGAGAAACATTGTTAAATAATTTAAATGACCAAAATTCAAATGAAACCAGAGCAGCAGTTTGCAAAACTGTTACTTACAAGCAATTGTTATCACCAGCATGCACGTGAAGACATTGGATAATACTCCTCCAATCCACCATCTGAAACAACAGGATCGCTGCCACTTAGCATGTAATTATGCATTTCCAACATGCATGATGGCCTTTTAGACTTAAATAGACTTATAATTTCCAGATTTACTATAAAACTACAATAATACAGATTCAGTATTGGAAAAAGGATAGACAAGTAAATCGACGAAAGAGAACTGGGAGCCCAGACCTATAGGCCCATATGGATGCAGTAAAATTTACTTTTTTCTTTTTCTTTTTTTGTACTGAGGATCCAACCTAGTGGTGTTAATCACTGAGCAATATCCCCAGCCCTTTTTTATGTTTTAACTAGAGATAGGATCTTGCTGAGTTGCTTGGGGTCTCACTAGTTGCTGAAGCTGGCTTTGAACTCACGGTCCTCCTGCCTCAGCCTCCCAAGCTGCTAGGATTACAGGCATGTGCCACCATGCTTGGCTAGTAAATTAATTTGTGTGTGTGTAGTACTGGGGATCCAACCCAAGGGTACTTTGCCACTGATTTTAGCAGAAATGCAAAGGAAATTCAATGGAGAAAGAGTAGTTTCTTCAACAAATGATATTGGAACAATTGGTTATTCACATGCAAAAGAATGAACCTCCACATATTTACCATATCTCACACAAAATCCAACTTAAAATGAATGATAGACTAAAATGTAAACTGTAAAAATATATAACTTCTAGCGTAATACAAGGTGAAAAACTATGTGACCTTGTGTTTGGCAATAAGATTTTAAATACAACACTAAGTCCCCAATCTCTCAAAAAAGATCAATTAATTGGATTTTATGAAAAAATATTTTTAAAAGTCCTCTCTGTGAAAGACTCTGGTAAGATAGTGAAAAGACAAGGTATAGTTTTGTGGAAAATATTTGCAAATAATATATCTGACAAAGAAATTCTAATCACAATATATAAAGAGCACTTAAAACTCTGTAATAATAAAGCAACCTACTTAAAAATGGGTGAAAGATCTGAACAGACATCAGACACCTCACCAATGAAGGTATTCATATGGCAAATACATATAAGAAGCTATGCCCAGTGTCATTTGTCATTGGAGTAATGCAAATTAAAACAGCAAGACTCCTCTCCATACCTATGACGATGGCTAAAGCTCCCCAAAATGACAATAACAAACGTAGACAGATGCAGAGCAACAAGGACTCTCATTCATTGCTGATCTGAGTGAAGTGGCACAACACTTTGGAAGATGTTTGGTAATTTCTTGCAAAGCAGCTCCTCTTGTCACCAAGCAATCACTCTCTCTACTGCATACCCAACTGAATTGAAACCCTGTCTCTATTAAAAAAAAAAAAAAAAGAAAGAAAGAAAAGGTTTTCTTGTCAAAACTTTATCCAAATTTGTCAAAAACTGGAAGCAACAAAGATGCTTTCGACAGGTGAATATATAAACAATCCATGGTACGTCTATGAACTGGGCTGTTAGAATGACACATTTCTTCTTGCTGTAGGTTGGTACCTCTTCTTACAAGAAGGATGTGTCGCAGAGAAGGTGAAAAGATTTCTGCATTAATCATATGTTAACAACATACCCGATGAGAGAAAGTTTTTTTTTTTTTTCTGGAAAAGTAAGGAAGTGAAAGCAGACAGGAGTGGTGGGGAGAACTATGGTTCCACGTGGAGTAAAATTCAATGTAAATTCCAAGCTTTTATTTCTACCCCTTATCCTCTTTTCCTTGCTTTATTTTTTGCAATGGTTACTTCTAGATTTACCATAAAAATAAAAAGGAATGAGCTATTAATTCATGCAACAATATGAATTCATCTTAAATGCATTTTGCTATGTGACAGAAGGTAAGGCAAAAAGGCTACATACTGAATAACTACATTCTTAAAGAATTCTGGGAAAAGATAAGGTTATAGGAACAGCAAACAGATAAGTGGTTTCTGGGAGTTTAGGGAGGAGGAGCATTCATCTAAGGAAGCACAGAGAATTATTTTAGTTGTTGAGGCTGGCCTTGAACCTGGATTGCTCTCTGTCTCAGGCTCCAGAGTTGCTAGGATTATTGAGGTGCACCACCATGCCCAGCTATGGGCTCTTTTTTCAGTGATTAAATGGAATTAGGAAGTGGTGGTGATGGTGGCATAACTTTGTGAGTGCACTAAAAAACTACACTTAAAAAAAATAAATACCAAAATAAAATAAGAAACTTTTTAAGATACAGCAAACAGCATTCTATAAATATTTCACAAGTACTATTGTATGTTCAAGATAAATTCCCAGGAAGAATATAGCCTAGTCAAATGGGACATCCTTAAGTTTCAAAGAAATTGTCAAAATGCCCTAGTTAATGGATTTTAAGTATTAATGATTAAAAATTTCACCAGGAATGTAGAAGCGCATCTGCTACCTCCCAGCCTTGCCAAAAATATGTGATCAAATATTTGGATTTTTCCAATCTGATGGGTGATTGTATCTCAGGGTAGTTATTTTTTTAAGAAAAGAATAATTCCTTGGTGATTTTGATTTTCAAAATGTAAATTATTTAAGATTAAAAAAAATAAGTACAAAAGAGAAGAAAATGTCATTTTTAAAAAGCCACTACCCAGTACCCTTCATGATTAAAATTTGATGACTGTCTTTTCCAATATCTCTTCTATGATTTTCTACAACTTTTTTCTCTAAACTGAGCTCTAACGTATGCACTGTAGAGAATAAAAATTGCACATTTTGATTTTGACATTTTAACATAAGCCCCTGTAAATGCTATCTAGATTAAGATATAGAATATATTCAGCAACCTAGAAGGTTCCTTTGTTGTTTCTTCCAGTTTAACCACTATTTTTACATCTATAATAATTCATAAGCTTTGTCTTCTATTGAATTCTACATAAATGTCATCCTACAGACTTGTGTCTATCATTTTTTTTCATAACTTCTTTTATTTCAATATAACCATTTCAAATATACTGTTGGAGATATATATTTTCTCATTTTTCTTTTTAAGAGCTTTTATTAGTGCAGGGTAGTTACATATAATAGTGGGGCTCATTTGACATAATTATGCATACATGGAATATAATTTGCTCCATTTCAATCCCTAGTCTTCCTCTTTCCCTCCCCGACTCCTGCCCCCTGTTCTCCACGCTACTGGTCTTCCAGTATTCCAGTATTTATTGTTTTTTAGGTGCTTTATAGATATATGTAAAGGTGGGATTCACCGTGGAATACTCATATATGTATAGCATAATTTGGTTAATTTCATTCCACACTTCCTCTCTTTTCCCATCTCTGCTTCCTCGCCATCAATCCTATCAATCCCCTTCCCTGCTCCACTGTTCTCCCTTCTATTTTCATGGAATTCTCTCCTTTTCCCCTTATTTTAATCTAGCTTCTGCATATGGGGGAAATATTCAACCTTTAAATTTCTAGGTCTGGCTTATTCCACTTAGCATGATGTTCTCCAGATCCATCCATTTACCAGAAAATGCCAAGATTTCATTCTTCTTCATGGCTGAGTAATATGTCAACATATCCAAAAGACACATTCATGCTTTTGCTCATATCATTAGCTCTTTTGTTAAATGATTCTTAAATAAACTTTTTTTTTTAAATCAGTGTTTCGTGGATGTCCATGATGGTGAGATTCACTGTGGTATATTCATATATGTACATAAGAGAGTTAGGTCAGAGCTATTCCACTGATATCCTCTTATCATGTCCCTTCTCCTTCCCCCTCCATCCCCTTCTTCTGTTCCACTGGTCTTTCTTCTATTTTGATGAAATTCCAGGCCCCCTTCTTCTGCTTTCTCCTCTCTCTCTTCTTATTTTGGATTAGCTTCCACATATCAGAGAAAATATTCAACCTTTGACTTTTGAGGATTGGCTTATTTCACTTAGCACGATGTTCTCCAGTTCCATCCACTTACCAGCAAATGCCATGATTTTATTCTTCTTCACATCTGAGTAATACTGCATTGTGTGTATAGATCGTATTTTTTTCATCCATCCCTCTGCAGAAGGACGCCTAGGTTTGTTCCATAGCTTGGCTATTATGGATTATGCAGCTATACACATTGATGTGGCTGAAACCCTATAGTATGCTGATTTTAGCTGTACTGGATACTTATTGAGGAGCGGGATCGCTGGGTCATATGGTGGTTCCATTTCTAGTGTTTTGAGGAATCACCACTCTGCTTTCCAGAGTCATTGATTTGCCGTTCCATCAGCCATGTATGACTGTGCCTTTTCTCAGATTCCTCACCAACACTTATTATTATTTGTATTCTTGATCATTGCCATTCTTACTGCAGTGGGAAGAAATCTCAATGTAGTTTTGATTTAAATTTCCCTAATTGCTAGAGATGTTGAACATTTTTTTCATATATGTTTTCCATTTATATTTCTTCTTTGGAGAAGTGTCTGTTTCGTTCCTTTGCCCATTTATTGAGTTATTTGTTTTATATAATAATTTAGATAAGTAGAGAAATTGAATAGTATGTACAGAGGGCTCCCAGGTGTCTCTCAACCACCTCCCTTTATTACGGGCATCTTATATACTATCCTGCATTCATCACAATTAAAGAACCAACGCTGGTACCTGACTATTAACTCCACGCTTCATTTGAATGTCCTAATTTCCCTACTTCCCCTTCCTGTTCCAGGCTCCCATCCAGCCTTCCCCACTGTGTTTGGTCATCAGGTCTCCTTGGTTGCTCTGCGCTGTGGCAGCTTGGCTTCAATGACCTCCATCTGAGTGAAACTGCTCAGATCATGTGGAGAAGATCCCCTAGTTTGGGTTCTCTGCCTAAGTTTCACATGACTGGGTTTTGGAGGACCATAGAGTGGAGTGCCTTGTCCACTGCATTGTCCCAGGCACCCGAGGTGGCTTTGGCCAGGTGTTGCCACAGTGAAGTTGCCCTTCCCCTTTCTTTACTCCATTTTTGGAAGCTAGTTTCTAAAAACAGTTCACCCCTCCAGGGTTGGAGGGTAAAGCTCTACCTCTAAAGCAGGGAGGGTTCACATAAATCAGCCTAAGAAACACGATAATAATCCCGCTGCTGAGCCATCTCTCTGGGCCACCGTTCTGATAGAGCACGTTGTGCTCTTCCAACGTGGGACGCACAATGCAGAGTTTTGCAAATTTATTTTTAACCCTAGGACCTCCCCCTTCTTGTTCTCTTGGTCCCATTGTACTCTAAAATTGCTTCTCAAACCTCATAATTAACTGGGAAGCTTGTTTTAAAATTCCACTTCTCACTAGACCTAAATCAGTGTCTCCAGGGACAGGATCTGGAACTTGGTGTTTAAAAAGCAGCTTGTCGAGGTGTCTGACCCTTGAGTGGCAGCCCTTGAGAGAAGGCAGCATCTGCTAAGAGTGAGGACTGCAAAGCTCCGGACCAGACGTCTTTGCTTCATTGGTCCAGCAAATATTGACAAGCCCCTGGCATTGGGGTTCAGAAGTGGAGGAGGCACACTGCATCTCTGACACTGTCACTCATATTCATGAAGGGACAGGTAGGTCATTAATATTTAGAGAAGTGAACCTAAGACAGGGAGGTGGTGGTCAAGGCTCTGAAGAAAAGTGAAGCAAGGAGTGTGTGTGACAAACGGGTGTGCTGCCCATGCAGGGTTGTCAGGAAAGGCCCCCAGGATGATGTGACATTTGAACAAATTCCACAAAGAAGTGAAGTCACATGTTATGAGGCTGTCTGTACAAGACTTGTGCTAAGCAGAAGAAACAGCGAGTGCCAAGGCCCTGAGGCATGACTAGATTTAGGGCCAAAGGGGCTTGTTCACTGTCCTGCAGTGGCTGGGCAAAGAAAGAAGCCAGGGCAAGGACACAGGGGAAAGACAACAGAGCAGAAACAGCTGTAGTCAGAAAGGAGCTGCAGTCCCACATGCTCTGAGTGGACTTCCCTGAAACTGACCTTTCATCTGTAAAAGGACTGTGAATGCTGTCAGAATCAAGATGGAGTCACTTGTGTCAACTCTAACAAAAGTTAAACAAAGCTGGGACGTGAGGAAGCAAGGTTCCCTAGGCATGATTGCCTGGTGGTAATTATAACAACACTCTGCCAGAACTACAAGACACAATCTTATACAAAAAAAGTACTTCTTATGGACATTTGTCCAGGAACTCTGTTCAACTTCAGACTAACGTCACCATTACTACTAGCCATTGTGGTCAAAGATTATTGTTTCAAAATATCGACTGTTATCCTCTTCATTTTTGCCTTTAAAAACCTCCCCGGCCTCCATCTATTTGAATATGTTCAGTTGATGATGGCACAAGTGTTCCCATCGAAACACTGCCAGTCCTGATGCATTGTTATTCTTTGGAGAATCTCTTACTGATTATTCTTTTTTAGATCAACATAATGTAGGACAAAAAAATTACAATTGGAAAAAAGGAGTGCACTACTAGGGACTTCAAGTGCTCTCGGATTCTGGGAAGGGACACTTGGATTATCTGTAGTAGGAGTCGCTGAGACTTTACAAAGGATACACATGGTAGAATCCAATTTTAAGCGAGACACACTGGCTTTTGTGTGCTTTGCTAGAGGATGAGAGGAGGGAGGGAAGAGATAAAAGAAGACACCATGATAGATACATGAGCAGATCTTGACCACAGAGCTGCCTAAAAATGCTCTGAGGAATAAGGCAAGGAAATCATCAGCTACACTCCATTAATTATGAAATACTGCTGCATGAAAATAAAATCTGAATTACCTTGCACATAGAGAAATGATGAAGCCTGCTGTAAGCAGCACTGCCTGAAAGGAGACACCCGGAAACACACTGGTTTCTAATAGGAAGAACAAAAATTAGTGGATCAGAAATCATGGCTGATTAAATCATCTTAGAACAACAAAAAAATAATACTAAACCTTCTCTACACACACACACACACACACACACACACACACATACACACACACATCAAATGCATGTCATCTTAAGCAATGCTAGGGTTTGGATATGAGATGTCCCTGTTAAAGCTCTGTGTAAAAGCAGGAATGTTCAGAGGTGGGGCATGGATGGAGGAGGTGGGTCACTGGGGGCCTGTCCCTGGTGCACGCACCCAATCTTGCTCTCTGTGCTTTCCGGCCACCATAAATGGGACAGCATCCCTCTACCATACCCTCCTGTCATGATGTTCTGCCTCACTTGGGACCCAGACCAACGGAATCTGTGGACCCTGGACTGAACACTGGAAACCATGAACCAAAATAAACTTATTCTCCTTTCAGTTGTTCTTGTTGGGTATTTTGGTTACAGTGGTGAGAAGCTGACTAACACAAGCAATTTGTCATAAGTAATGATATAAAATCACCTAACGTTATACAGGGCCATTCATTAGACAATTAGGCAAATTATCAGTTTTGTTTATCACTATAAAAGACTATGTTACACACTTCAGGGTTGCCTGTTGCTTTAATGTCAGGCAAAGGCTTTGTGGAGTTTATGCTAATGTCAGAATGATGATGACAATGATGGTACAAACAATCATAATGCCTAAAATCAGTAGAGGGCCTTTTAATTCACCAATAACTTTCACACATCAGTTCATTTAGTCAGCACAACAACTAGGTGAGGTGGGCAACATTGTCTTAGCTCTGCAAGCAAGAAGACCAAACTGAGAGAAATGACAAATGATCCAAGGTCACGCAGCGATGAGACGCCAGAGCCAAGATGTAGAAACCACATCTAGACAGAACATAATGTTTTGTCTGAAGTGGGGCAGGGAAAGACAATTGCAGCTTTGCATACTGGCAGTCTCTACAGACCAGAACAGAGAACATACATTATGAAAGAGTTTGTCCTTGCAAAACTCTCCACAATCCGCAGAACATCTCAGTGCTGTTGAGCCACAGTGGAAGTGGCTACAGATCCTCCAGCACTTCTAAGCAGGAGAGTTCAGTCAATCATGAACCTCAGTGGGACCCTAATTACCTAAAGAGAAGTGGAGCTGGCTTAAAGATTACTACAGAAAACTTGAAGGAATCTATAAACAGACCTCAACTTATTTTTTTTGCCAAATGCTTCCAAAGCTCAGTTTTACAACAGTTGTTTGAAACTTGGAATGACTTTATGAATGTATTTATTTTTGCTATTTAAGCTATGAATGAGGATTGAATCAGCTACAAAAATTCCTTAGCCCATCATGTGGGTGGAATACTGAAAACTGGCAATTGAAAACGTAGCAGTAGCAAATTATTTGCTGAAAATATATGGTATTGATGTATACTGTGAATTAAATAAGTCATCGTGGGTTCAATTGAACCCTCCACCATCTTTCTAAAGTGGGTTTCTATTCTTTGCCTCCCCCGACTTCATGTGGAATTTGGAGAACATTTCCTGAGAGAAACAAATCCAACTTGACAACCTGCAAATCTCTCTAGACTTACACACTGAAGGATGAATGGATGTACATATGAGTTCCACAAAGAGAGGGGTTGTGTCACTTTGGGCCAGGTTTCAGGCCCCTTCCTTTAGCAGCCATTTGCTTCGTACCTATTTTGGTGAAGCGGGTCTAACCCCTTGGGCAAGCCTGCCTCCAGCCTCCACCCGGCCCTGAACTTCCCTCCCCTGATTCCCACACCTTCCTTCCCGTCTCCCTTACCCCTTCCCATCTCCCTTACCATTCTCTTCACACTGAATTAAAGTTTTTGTTCTACACTCTGTTTCTCCCACAAGGCTCCACGCTGCACTTCCTAATCGAGGGGACAGCACCCGCGGTTTACTTGAGGAACCCCTCTCCTGCTCTCTCCTGGTGCACAGTTTGGGTGGGCTAGTGGGTGTCTTTGATTTCCCTCCCAGCATTTAAACCCTTCCAAGGTTTTTGGAGCTTCACATACTTATCTACAAAATGACCAGTTTCTCCATGTAGGTGAAACCTTTCAAATGCCAATAAAACTTAATTCTTGGCCTCCCGTCATAACTCCACTGAACTGGAAATTAGAAAAGTCCAGGTACAAATCAACCAGGAAAATGATGGCAAGATGGCCTTTAAAAAGCAACACCCACAGAAAAGAAGAGACAAGAAGAGACGGAGATGGACAGACTCCTCGACCCTATGCCTGGGAATTTTCATTAATGTAAACCCACAGATTCCATGACTGAGCAGTCCACTTTGAGTCGAGACTTCAGAATCAAAAGCTTTGACTGACAGAGATGAGGCTGTACACACCTACCCCCAGCACCTGGAATAGCACCTGGCAGAGAAGACACACTCAGAACCTACATTTGAAGGACTGCAGAAAGATGGAGACCTTGTCCCCTCCAGGATCCAGAGCTCAACGAGGAGGAGGGAAATGCGTGTTTGACTAGAGGTGTGCATACTGGGTGCTAGGGAAGTACAGGGCCACCTCCAGTGGCCAGAGGGGCAAATAAGACCCTTTAATGGACCATGAGGAAGAGCAGGGGTGCTCCAGATACAGCAGGTGGCACTGACAATTCAGACAGCAGAGAGCAGCCATTTCTCCTTGCCAAACTTTGCCAACAGTACCAAGGTTGATTTGGCCTTGCTGAGTCAGTACTCTTATCTGTAGTATGGAGAGGGAACATTTTTAAATGGTCCACCACAGTCACAGAGCACAAGGAATTTGTGGAGGACTGTGACCTAGTGCCCATCCTGAAGGAGTTCCCAGGCCAAAGATGGGGGTGCTTCCCATGCAGAGGTAAGCATGCGACAATAGTGCAGGGAGTGGGCATGACACAGAGAAGCCCTGGGAGCCTGAGGAGCACAGAGAAGGGAGCTTTCTGGAGGAGGTGGCTACTGAGTCTTGTGAGGCACTGATAACTTGGCCACTGTCTGGACAGTAAAGTCACCTTCTCTGTCAATCCAACACCTGGAAAGGGAGTTCACAAAACCCTTCAACACTTATCTAATGGCTGCACCTGGGTGCAGGGAACCTTGGCCTTTGTAGGGGAAGGGATAACCCATGAGGTTCATATTCATGATTTTGTTCATATTCATTATGTTTCCATTTCATCTCACCTTCGCATAATCGTAACTTCACATTCATTGAGCATTTAGTAGACATGGCCCAAATTGATTTGCATGAACTATTTTAGTCTTTATGAGATAAGAACTGGGATGATCTGTACATGCGCATGAAACCATTGCATTTTAGAGTTTGGTAAGCTGCTCAGTGTTCTTCCTTGGTGGTTCACAGAGTTACTACAGCGAACACATGGGGAACAGGGCTTTGCCTCTCGGTCAACTGGCAACAGGGCCAGCCCAATAGCAGAGCCTGATTCCGGCGAACTAGAGAAGAGAGGCTTGATTGCTTGCTGGACTTATTCCACACTCACTTTGACAGGAGATGCCAATAATTTTGGATATTTTTCCTTTTCTTACTAGAGGCATCCTGTAAAAGGATATTCTTTTCCTGCTGGGCACCATGGCACATGCTTGTAATCCCAGAGATTCGGGCGACTGATACAGGTGGATCACAATTTCAAAGTGAGGCTCAGAGACTTAGTGAAGGCCTAAGCAACTCAATGAGACCCTGTCTCAAAATAAAAAATAAAAATAAAGGGCTGGAGTAGTGGCTCAGTGGCTAAGCACCCCTGGGTTCAATTGCCGGTACAAAAAAAAATGTTCTTTTGCTCATTTTCCTGTTTTTCTTCTGGTGTGAGTCAAATATACTGCTATGTATAAAGACTAAAACAGCAAGGGCCTGTGTTTCTTCTCCTGTGCTCAGTTAGAGCCTAACATTACATCACACATCTTCAGAGTTTTTGAAAAAAAATAAAGCAGTGTACATTCAGTGCTTCTGATGACTCTAAGATGATACCAAAGGCAATGACCTCCCTTATGAACACATCTCAAGGACCCTGGCCAAGGTCTGGGTCCACCTCTCCTCGAACTGGTAAAAGCCAGTACCTAGGAGCATGTCAGTCACCCTCTGCCATGTCAGGCCCTGAAAGGAAGAATTCTTTGGGAATGGCAATACATAAATCAATAAATAAATGAAAAACTCACGTGAATGATCCACAATGTTCTCTTGCAAACGTTCAGGGGCATTCCACAGGGACTGAAGGGTGTCCCGGGAGCTTCCTCTGGGAGGCTGAGATGTGATTTGGCTGGAAGTGGAGGCTGTCACAGATGCTGCCTTTGGCTTCTCCAGGTTGTCAGTCAGAGAAGAACAGTTGAAATCCCCTTCTGAAAAGGAGATGGGTTCAGAGTGTGTGTGCATGTGTGTGTTCAGTGACTGCTTTATGCATGTTTCATAGCAATAGGAACCCGGATGCACTGCCAGAGTAGAACGGCTTTCTAATTGGTTCTCCTCTTGAAGCTGCAAAGAAGTAGCTCAGTGCACATACAAGCAAGGCCAGAGGCCTAAAGGTTTGGCAAAGGAAGCAGATTGCAATGTGGTTAGAACAAAGTACCCAGGGAAGTCAGCCGAAGATGAAGCTGGAGCCAGACTGAGGACTGGTCACCAAAGGCACTAACCTCTCAGCTGAGCATCAGGGACTCCTGCTGCAAGCAGTGGGATGATCCCGAGTAAGGGCAGCACTGTACACACTCTACACTAGACACATAAAACTGTGGCATTTTATGTAGGCAAAATAAGGTGACGTTTTGATATATGATGAAATGGAGGTGGCCCTAGAAGAAAGCATGAAAGGCTATCCAAAGACCCATGTGTAGAGGAGACAGGAAATCCCACCCATCATGAGGGGCAGTGAATGGGTAGACTTGAAGAAGCCTGATGACCGCATAGGCCACACATATGTGTAGCATTAAACTTCACAGTGGGCCTAACTCCTTCTTCTAACTCACTCACTGGCTCATTTGGCATTAATCCAATATAGATCAGAACCTGACTGAGCTGCTAGGAAACAATGGAGTATCAGACAGATGTCATCTCTGTCCTCATGTGGCTTGTGTGCTGGTGGGAGGAAGGTGGAACTAACGACAACCTTCCACTATAAAATATGTTGATGTGCTGGGTAAAATGCTGTGTAGCATGTGTTTTTTCATCTAAGGGCTTATATAATTCAGACATGGTTTCAAGGACATGTGGCCTATTCTCTTCCACAAGAGTCCACACATAAATGAATATGTTTTACCAGCCCTTTAGTTAGCCTAACATTACCTCAAAAGGAGTCAATCAAATTCATCTCAAAATCATGTAGCATAAGGTTTCACACCTGCTAAGCTAACTCCTAATGAAGATTGGTGTCCTCAACATTAGGACATTAAGGAATGACATGTAATTGTTGGCTCTGAATTTGAGTCTGGGGTCACAAGGTCCCAAATTGCCCAAGTCAGAGCTCCAGGCAGGAAGACTGCGGTGGGCATGTCCTTCCACCGCACAGAAGGTTCAGCACCACACCTGACCCACTGCAAGTCTCTGAGATTCGTCTGGCATGAATGCACGCAGGACTTCCCTGCTCTGCCTTTGGTGGTCTGTGTGATGCCCACCCAGGGATAAACTTTACTTCTGTGACCTTGACTAAAAATTTGAGCCATGGAGAGCTCATTGACCTGGAAGCAAAACCTCTCACAAAGAGCAGGCAGAAGCCCTGCCTCGGACACAGGTGTTTCCTGAGCTGGTGTCGAAGATGGCACACATCCAACTGATGTTTTGTAAACTGTATGGCTGAGCTCAAAAGAATGATGCATTCCCAGAGGCCACGGCAAGGACTCCCAGAGCTCTGAAGAGTCGTGGCCAAACGGCCCTGGAGGGTGGGGGTTTCTAGAAGCCAAAGGGCTATGGTTTCAGTGATACCATAGGAGCAGAGAAAAGGCCTTGGTGTAAAGAGAGACATAAAATTGGAACTGAATTCTTATAAGAACTTGAGTCTATTTCCCCAATGAAAGGGGAGGCTAAAGAAAAAAAGTCACTTAAAGTTCAGGGAGAGAGCTTGATGGCTCTTCTCCTTTGGTCTAGGCAGCTATCCCCCAAAGATTTTATGAGGAAGTGGTTTTCAAGTCCAAATTTATACTGAGAAGTTACTATTTCAAAACAGTCTTCACTGGTGCTTGTCCTGTGATGTACACTAGGATGTACACTTAAATCTCGTTTTAGAACGCTCTCAGCCCCAGATGCACAGATTCTCTCAAAGAAAGCCCAAGGGAGATGAACTCACAACCCCAAACCACAAGATTCTCCAGGAGGTACTCTCCAGGGGAAAGGCAAACATGTACCACAATGCAGAAAAGGAGAACCCTCGGGCAGGAGGCAATGGGGGAACCCAGGAGATCATGCTTGATTTTCAGTTTAGGACAGTGGGTGTGGTGTCTGAGAACATTGTGCTCCTTTATTTTACCCTAGGGAAATGCTGAAGTAAACCCATAAACATGTTTTTTTCTAACTATACTATCTGCTTATTTTTTTTCTTATCTAAAAAAGAGAATTATTTCTATGGCCTGTATGTGTCTTGGTTTTATGACTATAGAATTACTCAAATCAACTGTGTACATATTTATCTCCCCATATGCTATAGGGCACTCAGGTGAATGAGAGGGATACAGGGAGAAGACAGACAGTGCCCCAAAGGGGCTAGAAATCCCAGGTGGTGTTTGTGCACATGAGAGTCACTGGTGGGAAGTGGTAAGGAGGGAGTGTTCATTAGATAGGGGACACATGCAAAGTGATGTCATTGTTAAGAAGAAGCAAAGTGAGATTTGGTGGGAACGCCAAAGACTTGGCTTCAGAAGACGGAACCCGAGTCTTCATGCAAGAAACACAGGGCATGGGACCTAGGTTTTCTGACCCCGAGTTTCCTCATCTATAAAGTAGAACATTCTATGAAAAAGGAAGGGAGGGAGGGAGCAGAGCTTATTGGTGGACTTATGGAAAGGGTTTTTTAAAAAAAAAAATGAATGACTCTCCAGGGAATTGCTCTACCATGCAGGAGCTCCTCAGCCTGTTCCCAGACATTTCTAGGCACACATCTCATCCCATGTGGTTGCTTTGTTATCCCCTCCTCACTGTATGGCAAGGTGACAGCAGGAAGGCCAGAAGAGAGGGGGAACTGGAAGAAAGGGAAGATGAAGTGCGTTCCCAGAGAGCGAGACCCAGGCACCAGACAGGAGCACATGCCTGGGGAATCCTGGGAGATGGTGCTGGCTGGACCGCTAAGAAAGATCAGATCTTGAGGGGCCTCGGGTCACACTTGGGAGCTAAGATTATTCTGTGGGAGTCTGAAGTCATTAAAGTCATACGAGCATGAGGAGCTCCATGCGTTGAGATGCTCACTCAATGGTGAGATCTGAGAGATTCCCAGTCCCTGAGAGCTCAGCAAGGGGGACTTCCAAGAGATACTTGGGGTCCTCATATAACAGGAGTCCTCTACCCTGTTATATGAGGGGATTTCTCCCCCCAGACAAATTTTTTTTTTTCTTTTTTTGCATCCCAGAACGTGTTTGATTGACATCATTTGGGACACAGGGGTTGCAATTGGCACCTAGTGAGCAGAGGCCAGGGATGCTGCTAACCTGCTCTGGAGGACAGCACGGCTGTTGGGCCAAGAATAACTGGCCCAAAGTATCAGTAACAGTGAGCTTGAAAGCCTGCCAAAGGGAGACCAGACCTAAATGTACAGGCGTCTTGATCACTGGAGCCTTCGACACCTCTGGGAAGCACTGGCACGTGCAGACCTGTCTCTTTTTCCTGTTGTACTTATTCTTGTCCAAACACCCAGCTCTCTGCCTTGGTGGGATAAATCATTATCACAATTTTATAAATTTCCTATAAACTGGACTGTGTAAATGGTGTGGTCTTTGTTTAACACTGTGTTCCTGACTAGACTAAATTTCCATGAGGAAAAGTTCACCTGAGCTGCTCCAGACACCAGCAATCAGTCCAGCTCACAGTTGGCCCTCAGTAAGGTTGGTTATGTTAGTGGATGGAGGTTTCCCTGGAGGTGAGAGCTTGAGACACATAGCCTTACCCAAAACCTAACCTGAGGTTGTCACAGTAGGGCTACAGCGATCACAGAGATAGTGGATCTGTTTGACCCCTGAGGAGGCTGAGGCTGACCTGATTAAGGCAAGGAATGGCCTCCTTGTCCTGATTGGGGCCTGACTCCACCTGACATCCTGCTCAACCTGGGTATTAACGCAGTGAGCCGGGGAATTCCTGCCAACCCCACAGGTTTCCTGGCACCATTCTACCCAGCACTAGCCGCAGTGGCCGAGAATGGAAACAATGTAAGCATCCACTGTCAGAAGAATGGGTAAAGAAAAGGTGGAATGTCATTCAGCCGTGCCTAGAGAAGGCAGTCTGCCATTTCCAGCAAGGTGTATGAACTTAGAAGACACTAAACTAAGTGAAATGAGCCAGTCACAGAGGGACAAATCCTGCATAAGCCCTTTCTATGAGAATCTGTGAAGCCAAACTCACTGAAGCAGAGAATTCAAAATGGCTGGAGGTGGGTGAGGGTGGGGGAATGGAAGCTGCCCGTAAATGGTAGTTTCAGTTATGTGAATGGATTTTTCTACAGAGCTGCCATGCAATGCAGCGCCTGGTTTGCTAAGAAGATACATCTCACACACGCATACACGCATACACACACACACACAAAGATATTTATGGGAGGGTATTAGTTTTAGAGAAAAGCCACAGACCATCTTGCCTGTCCTAGGGTGAGCCGAAGTAGAGCTAGAGGAAGGTCCAATTCAGTCCTCCCTGTGTGAATTCTCTGTTCTCTTTCAGGGTGACTCACAGACTGGGAACACATCCCAAATTGCAGTATTGGGGTCTGGGGAGCTGCAAAGCACCGTGGCTGAAGAATGAATTGCAACTAATGAGAAAAGGTGTCTTGACACAGCTGGGGAAGGGGTGAGCTGAGGACAAATGAAATAGGCAAAAAAAAATCCTCTCTTGCCTGGAAAATGAAGCGACAGAAAATCAGGGGAAGTAGTGTTTGATTGCATCCATTGCACAGAGAGAAAACAGAAAAACAACTTAATTTTGAATTCTTCTGGAGTCTTCTAACTAGGCTACATTTCCAGAGAAAAGTAAATTGCTGATAAAAGTCACGGGGCCTTGGGTAAATCCAGAAAATGAGAAGTCTGGGGAAAATTTGATTACAGCTGATAGCGGAGATGAGAGATTTCAAAGTCCTGTGCACCAGGTTGACTAATTACTGATTTGGGAGTGGGGTGGTTTGGTATTTTATATTTAGAAGATATTTGGCAACCATGAGAAT